AACTCAGCCATATCCTAGGAGGAAGGAATAGATCTTAGTCATTGCCTGTGGAGGCTAAAAAGTGCTGCCCCGATCATAACATGTTCTGGTTCATGGAACCTGTGACTGTTACCTTATGTGCTAGAATACTTTGTGCAGATGTGACTGCATGAAAGAACTTGAAGTCGTGAGTGTCTTGGTTACTTTCTTAGTGCTGGGACACGATACCTGATACCCACAAGTTAAAGGAAGAAAGGTTTATTTTAGCTCGTGGTTGTAGAGGTCTGAGTCCGGCGTCAGCTGGCTTCTAGATAGGATGGCATGGCAGAGGGACCGTGGTTCTGGGAATGAGAGAGAAAGAGAGAAGCTAGAAGAGAAGAAGCCTTCCAGGCTGTCCCCCGTGACACACTTCTGACCAGATCCTACCTGCTAACAGTAAGCCAGCCGTAAACTCATCAGTGGACCAATTCGCTCCTGAGTGTGGTGCCCGAAGATCCAGTACCCTCCCAAGAGCACCACCTCTGAGCACGTCAGGCTTTGGGGGACACCTAGGTAAAGACCATAACAGAGAGTGTCTTCGGTTGTCCACACTGGCCCAAAAGCCAACCACTGGTGACCGCTGGATTGGAAAGCAGACGGAGATTTGCCTGCAGACAGAAGAGAAAGTAATCTGAGTGTGGACTCAGAGACTGAAGGCATGTTTCTTCTAAACACACAATCCTGGGAGCAACCAGGGCACTGAAGAAATCAGGCGTAGGCTTCTACCTCAGTCCTCCAGAAGTCACAGGGCCTTCTGACATACCGACTCAGAAACTCTGAGAGAACAATTTTTTTTTTTAAGAATATGTGAGAGCAGACACAGCAGTTCAATCTAACATCATTGGCTGCTTCCACCCCGGGAGGGTGAGACTTAGGATTCTCTATGTCAGGGCCGCTTTGGCAGATAAATAAAACAGGAAGGATACAGGATTGAGCAGTTTTACATTTAAGGATTTGGAAGGATGGATGTGGAAATGTTATTTGCCTTGACATTTTCTGTATTACTGACATTTCCTGGATCTGTGGCTTGTATTTTTGATTTTGCATTTTATTGATTATCTGAATTTTGATAAGTGACACGTTTGTAAAATACTATTATCATAGAAATAGTTGGATAAGACTATATTTTCATAGTGATTTACTTGATTTCAAGACACTTTTTGAAATTATCTGAAATATAAAAATAAAATAGTTGGAATATATAATTTTAATCTTATAATAGGGTAACTAAAATAATGGATGTAAGTCATTAATTGAAAGTTAATTGGCAACACTGGCAAAGTTTATCTTGTATTTTGGAGATTTCATGCTTCAGTTGCTACCTAGTGTACAATTGGGATTTATTTGTACCATACCGCTGGGTCTGGTAGTATATTAAGTTATGAAGAATATTAATATTGCTGCAGAACAATTACTTGTGAATTTGCTGATTAAAATTCATGCATAATTTATTGAAAAGAATAGAGATTTTATAACTGAATCTCCTTGTTCTCAAGGTTTGGAAACAAAATATATATGCTAATATAAGGCTCCTTTTTATCTACAAGAGAACAAAAACTTAATATGTAGTGGCATATTAGTCTCCCTCACATGAGTTTCACTTCTTACCATCATGGTATTAATCAGGGTACATGCTTCTGAGGCTCTTTGAATACTGCCACTGTCCCCAACTTGAGCTAATACTTCGATGATTGAACTGCCCCTTTCCCTGCCCAGCCATTCCAAGTAAGATGGGAAACTTATCAGTGTTGTGCTGTCCTTTTTTTAAAATTAATTTTATTGGTACATTTAAGGTGTACAATGTAATGACAGCCATCGCTGGAAATTTGTGCCTTTACATAATCCATCTTGGTTCTTTTTTTTCCTCCATTCCCCTGCCCTCCCTTCAACCACTCTACCCCTCCCTGTCTACAAAGATTTTAAATCCATTTTTTCTTTTTCTCATATTAATTCCATTCCCTTCTTTCTTTTCCTCTACCCCTCCCACTTCCCCTTTGCAGTATAACAGGTAATGCGGTCCTTCTTAATAAGCCGTGATTATTAAAGTGGATTACTTATACTTTTACATATTTTTGGAGGATAAAATGTTGTGATGTATCTGTTTTTACATCAAACTCATGTCTTCATTTACATGAAACACTAGAATTGAATATTAATTTCTGGTTTTAAAATTTATATGCTTTTTGGCAAAAATGAAAACAAAGCAAAATAATACCCCATATCAAGCTTGATGATGCATTTAGAAACATACAGTCTTTTAAAATTCTTCAAATAATGCCTTGTTTACTACCGAGGAAGTTGTAGTTCAAATTTAAATGGCATATTCAGGTGTGCACTGCTATTTCTCTACATGTATGTTTTGAAACTCGGCCACATGGTTTCAACTGCATTTTACTTACAGACAGAACTGCTAGATGAAGTACGATGCTTGTGTCTCACATTGTGCTTTCGGTGGCTCCTTCCGTCTCTTCTTTTCTTTCCACCTTCTGCTCGCCTCTTTTGTTACTGCCGTGTTTCCTGTGGCCAGACGGCGGGATTTTGAAGAGTGAGACCTCACATTCAGAAGCCATGTGTAAAGTTAAGTCTGAACACCTGTGGACTTACCGGTCGGCCAGGGTTGTCATTTATAATCCTTTGGGCATATCGTTCCTGTTCGTTCACCTTGCTAAGTGTCAGGCCTGTCCGGGTCATCGTCGAGCTCTGAAATGGTGCGGCGCTGCTACTGCCAGTGGAACACCAATAAGCTCTGAGTTTAGCATTGTTTCCTGTGTAGCTCAAATTAGTATCGGAACCATCTGGAAGGAAAAGAAACATTGCACACATGAGGCAACTTGGTTTATTCACAAATACAGACTGCTTTTTGAAATAAGTGTAACATTTAGAAAGTCTGCAAAGACATTTACATTTTTTTCCATTATGTTCATTTCTCTATTCAGTTTCATTTTAGCTTCTCCCTATTAAAACTTTTATAAACTTTGTAACTTCTCTAAACTGTGACTATAAAAGTTAGGCTAGTTGATACAGGTTCAGGATATAAAATATACAGCTGTATGTTTATATTAGCTAATAAATGAAAATTCTAAGCTATTCTGGTTTCTTTTAAGCTTCTCCTTTTGACACTAACTTTGTTGCACTCACTTTTGAAATTGGAAATACTTCATCTGGAAAACAATTTTAACTACATATTATTGAAACAATTAGCAAATCATCGGGAAACATTTTAAGTTAAAGTTTATCAGCCAGGTGTTAAGAAATATTTTCACAGAAATAGTTCTAAATGTACCCAGTTGATATGACATATGTTATCTTCTTTGATGGTAGTTTTATTTTTATTTTAAACATGAACATAGTTAACAACCAGTTTATTTTATTCTTTTAACTGCTAGTTTGCAAGTATTGCCTTAATCATCCATGATTATTTAAATGAATCACTTACACTTTGATGTACTTTTGGAGGGTAAAATATTGTGTTACATCTGCTTTTCTTTATCACAGTGTACTCTATATTTTTCCTGTAAATCTCAGTTTAAAATAATGAATTTAAATGAATGAATTGTACCCATTTCTTCCCCACAATATTAATGGACACCTAATGGATAGACCATGGTGGCAATTAGTAATTATTAAATAAGTAATTTCCCTATGAATTTTGAGAAACATTCTTGAAAACACTCTTAGTCTATGTTAGATGCAGGTCCATGGGCTAGGGATGCTTATAATTCCGGAGTTTTACACAAGTAATGTTTGTGCAAGTATAATTAAAAAGTAAATCTTTGGGTGCAACTTAAAAATATTATTTCATTAAAACTTCTTTAAGAAGGAAAAATCTCTTCATGGATAAATTTTTTGTGCATTGCATTTTTTTTCCTGTGCAGTGCAGAGTAGAAAGTGGAGTTTGAAAGTCGCTAGCTGCTTATTCCTGACTTCCCTGTAACTGTGTCTTTTCCATCCCATCCCTTCCTGCGGTGGGTCAGGGTGCTGAAGCGTTGTATGGTTGTATCTAATGGTTTCCCCTGATGTGATTTGCTCGAACTGAAAAAATAATTTTGAAGTAATTGGGAGGCAGTTACCACTTTAGGAAGATGTGTGCTTTCCTTTAAAGTACTGTAACCTCCCCGCAAAGTTCCAAGAAAGCCCAAACTGATCACACAGTACTGATTACCACTCCATGACTTGATATTTCATGTGGACGGAACAAACAGGGCTCGAGCTGAGAAATCCTGCATAAAGCCCCAACTTCTAATTTCACTTGCATTATTGTTAGTGGGAGCAAATACTTTCATACATCATTCAGCATTTAATAAGGTCAAACATTAAAATAATGTTTTCCAACATTTCTTGCAAACAAAGCATGTTAAGCCCTCAAAAATTAACTTTCATCGTACCTTTGACATTCATTTGACAGATTATCTCATCACGTGCTGCTCCCAAAGGCCAGCAAGATGTGGTGTTTGTGCTTTTGCCTAGGAGTAAATTTCCATTTCTCACACTGTGAGGATGGGTGTATCGAGACAAGTCAGCTCCTGGCCTTTCTCCTTAAGTCATCTGCAGAAACTCTGAAGAGATTAAAAACAAAGCAAGAGCCCAATAGAAAGGACCTCTTGGCTTTCTTTCATCAATGAATCAAAATATCATGAGATCTGCTCTATGCCCCAAGTAGCTAAGGAGAAATTCTCATCTACAAATATTTCTTCTGAGCGAGCCTTGTTTACTGTGTCTTTACGAGTTTATCTCCAAGGAGCCATACTGTTATTGGAAGAAAACTTGTGCTAAAATGATCCTAGCCCTCATAAAACCGTTTGCTGTTTAAAAAGACTTTTGCCAGACCACGCCTATCCTGGTTTTCTTTTAAATATTTGTCATGTGCTCCTAAATTAATCATTCATTGAGCCTTTAAGCTTTAAGAGACACTTCTCTGTCTCTGTTTATAACGCTGTGGGTGTTTAACTAATTGCAGCGTACGCTCATCTCTCCTCTCCTAGAGCCACCGAGACCCATTGCTCCCCCGCAGCTGCTCGGCGTTGGGCCTACGTATTTGCTCATTCAGCTGAATGCCAACTCTATCATCGGCGATGGGCCCATTATCCTGAAAGAAGTGGAATATCGGATGACGTCAGGATCCTGGACAGAAACGCACGCGGTCAATGCTCCCACTTACAAACTATGGCATTTAGATCCAGACACCGAGTACGAGATCCGCGTCCTACTGACGAGACCCGGGGAAGGTGGAACAGGGCTGCCAGGACCTCCTCTCATCACCAGGACCAAATGTGCGGGTAAGGCTGAAGGACCGTTATATCTGCGAGGATATCGGGCCCGAGAAGCGCGATGGGTGCGGTACTGAGAGTTCGGATTGGTTGGCCCATGCTGTGCCACACGAGCGGGGTTTCTGTGAAATAATGTGTTGCCTTGATTTTGTCATAATTTAGCTGACTTAACACCAGTGTGTGCTTCTTTCATTCTCGCATTATCCTGAAAACAGATTCGTTTCGCGCTTGGTAAATTCAATGAGCCGTTCACGTGTTCAGTCCAAACACTGGGATAGCTGTAGGTGAAAGTGGTGTTGGGAGAGGTGACCTTTTCATTTCAGGAAACATTGAACACGTTTGTACCATGTGGAAGTTGTCCACTTAGATAATGTCATTTTAGTCCGTGCGCAGGCCTTATCATATAAGGTAAATATAAAAAGTTACTCCGGATAATGGGAGAGCGCCTCTTCGGGACAGGTATTCTATTAAAAAAATCCTGTTGAGAATTAGCTCAGCAGAAATAGAATACAGAAAGCTTTTCATTACGTGCTTAAGCTGTCTCGTTGCTCTTCACGTGTCTGATACAGAGCTATGAAAATAATAGTGCGTGAAAAATAAAGAAGAGAAGAAAAAAAGTAAAACATACTCATATATCCTGGCTCCTTACTACACCATGTTGTTATAATGGGAGGAATTATTAGCTATCTACTAAATGCCACTAAAGATTTTAATCATGTAAGTTTTTGAGTGCATTTTTTAGGGTAGTGTTTATTATGGAAAGCAGTTTAATTTTTAATTTAGCTTAAAAGGTATTTTTAATTCAACCAAACATTTTGGAGAAATACATTTTGGCCATTTGACAAGTCTGTTTCTGAAAACTGAAAAGAAACTGGGGATTAAGGAAAACATAAGTGCTAATGTAATGTATCTTGTTCCTTGAAGATGTGCTTATTATTTACAATATTATTGGGCCATTCACCATATATAGTGATCTACATTTGAAGCAAAACTTACTCAGTTACCTGATAAAATGTAATCTATCAATATTTGTCACCCTGATAAATTTTAATATACTTATACAACCGATTAATAGATATGTACTAGAGAAAAGTTTAACTTCTCACTCATTAGTTTGAGATTTACCCAGTAGAGAATTTACTGATTTGTTGAGTGGTACCGTACTTAATCTGTTATTTGAAAAAGCATTTGATCCTAGAAGATACTGGCTATGTTTCTACCGCTGAGCTGAAATCTCAGTTTGTTTTACAATATTTTATGTACAGCCTCCTTTTCAAGGTCTTGTGATAAAACGTTTGCTTAGCAGTAGATAAACTTTCTGAAGAAAAGGCAGGTTGTACCTTTCAACTGCAACTAGAGTAGAGAAAACATTGGAAGCAGAAACTGTGAAGATGGAAGAGGAATTCACTACTCATTCCAAGATTAGCATCTCACGTCACATGAAAAGATGAACAAGAGTCCATTTTGCTGTGTAAATTGTTCACGTTTTCTATAAAATCACCCTTTTTGATTTCTCAGTAACTTACCCTTTTCTGCATTTCTGGAATAATCAAGGATTATTTGATAGTCTGTGGTCTTTCTGTTGACTTCCCTTGCCTACACTTCTTTTAAATATTTGATTTGATTTTGATTTTTTTGTCCAAATGAGTCTTCTAAAATTCGCAGTACCACAGTGCACGTTTGTGTATTGTAATTTTTGTTAAACTGGAAATTGTTCGAAATTAATAATGGCTGGGAAAGCTGTGGAAATTGCAAGTAAAGGAGACTGTGTTTTAAAGCCAGTTATGTCTTCCATGGATAAAACTACCATGTTTTAAAAAAACACCATGTTAGTGAACATCAGTTTTCCATATTGAATGCTGATACTCAGTGCACACTGAGCTCCACTAAGTGAAAATACGACTAGGTAGTGCCTTAAGGTATTTTATTCTGAGAATAGTCTTGTCTGCGTAGGAGAACAGAGTAAAAATAACTCACACTGTAGCTGCTTTCTAACTAATAAAATGCCTTGACATTTTGAAATTTCATTGATAGTTTTATCTGATTATTTAAGAAATATTTGTGTACTCTTATGATACTTAAATGGTATCAAGCTTAATAACTTGCTGTGCTACTTCCAAATTTTAGAAATGTTGTTTTTAAAACCACTTTTAAAGTTATGAATCTTTGTCATACATATTCTGACTAATGTCTCTTCAGTTATGTCTCATGCAAGTCTTTTGAGAGAAGTGTATATAGTAGATTGTTTTAAGTGCATTGTAGATTTGAAGGAAAACATATTTATAATTTCTAGGAATGTCTGCTAATCTTTCTCTAAAAGAAAAGGAAGGAAAGCTTATGAAAATATATATGGCGCTATTTTTTAAAATTATCTCCCAAAAAGAAGTTGACTGTAATCGATAAGCATTGTATATCTAAAATTTGTATTAGTTATAATTGTGATATTCATCCATTTTCACTCTTTACAATCCATTTTTCTTTCCTTAAAAATTAAGAAAGATCTTTTAAACTTTAGCGGGACAACTAATGGCCTCAGCCTGGGATCTCGTATCAACAAAGCAAAATAAAACAGGCAAAAGTTGGTATTAGATGAATTTTTGTACAGATTATAAAAGCTTTAAAATCCTTTGAATCTAGAGAAATGTTCCCTTCGTGATCCGAAGCTCAACCTTTGGAAGAAGTTCCCATGTAATTTGATTTAATGGTACTGCATTTTGTTAGTGGCACTGAATACTAGAGCTATAAAAATTATCTTTTGATCAGGACCAGGAATATATCACTTAAGATTGTAAAGTTGCACCATGAGTGTATTCATATTGAATAAATATTGATAATTGTGAAGCAGTTATTTTAATATGTCATGCATATTTCATACTTAAAAAATAAATATAAATACTTCTTAGTTATAGGTATATTAATTTCACAAATGTTTATAAATGATTATTTCTGGCCTTCAGAAATTCTCATTTCATTTTTCTATATTGCACTGAGCCAACTTTTGTGACTCCTAAGTACCAATGGAATAATGAATTATTTATTATTTACTATTTAAAAAAACCTATTTTTAAAGCATTTTAAGACATTGATATTTTAGTTCTGGTAGTAGTAACTGTTGTTTACTTGGAAGAAATCTGTCAATACATTTTCAACAAGTCCATTAAATATACTTCAGTCTAAATAAATTAATTTTACACTTTTGGAGGAAAGTGTACATTTTTTAATCTAAGTATTGACCTGAACTACTTTAGAATCAATATATAAAGTGAATTCATCATGATAGGCTTCATATACACATTAATCTTTTGAGTTAGATATATTATTATATCATTTTTTGTGCTTGATGAATTTAATACTCAAGGGGGTTAAAAAAAAAACCATAAAACCAGTTAGTTGCTAATTCCAAAGCACTTGGCAATGGCTGCCCAACCCACTGTGTGGTACTCAAACCCTGCCTGCTATTCCCTCTAATTCCTATCCCAAGCAACTGTTCCCTCCTCCTAATGCAGCCTAAGATGAATGAACAGGAGCGCGAGAGGTAGAACCTGGGAGTCACACACTGGAGTCTCTCTGGCTAACTCATTCCCTGAGAAGGCGGAGCCTTATGTTGGCCTCTTCTCTTTTATTAAAAGCATGGTGGACTGGTGTTCGACACTTAAATATATGTTGTATTTTAGAAACTTTAGTTAACAAAAATAGTAAAAAATGTATTTATTACTTCATTCTTTTCTGAAAATGGCTACCTGCATGGTTGCTAAGGTTACTTTTTGGTTTACTTTCCAAAGAATGTTAAAATCATTTGGTAAGTGCTATTGCCTGATTTGGGGTCTCTCACGTTAGGAGCAGGGACAATCACATCCTCTGGTAGCAGAAGCCACCTAAGTCTGCTTTGTGATTCTCTAAGAACCTAGGGGTCTATTTCACTGTTGCTCTTTATCCTGACCTAACTTATTGTTCATGTAATGTTTCTTCAGGCACTTTATAAAATTTGTTAAATGGCATAAATGTGCAGTTGTCTTAAATGGGCTCTAATGTGAAAACTCCACTGAACAATCAGAGAAAGTGCGCATTTTATCTTTGTTTCCTCTGGGTATACCATCTGCCATAGAAGCAAAGAAAATGAAGTTGCTCTTTCTCTTATTAAATAGAAATAAAATATGCCATCGTCAGGACTTGTCCACATTGCATACTCTGGCAATTTCACGTTAAAATTGCTCCTTGAAATTGCCTTCAGCTTCTGGGTAGCCTGTCGTGGAACTGCTTCGTGATTAACTGGCATTTTAGCCGCATTTCTCTTGTAGGGAAGGTCAACAGTTCAGGGTGTCCAGAATGTGATGTATTTGTACCGCTGGGAGAGCTGCTCTGTGCCTGTATAGCGAAGTTCAATGTTCTGGGCCATTTTTAGTGAAACTTGGAGATCTATGAAGCAGTCATTGGGAAAGTGTCTCATGTCACATGCAAACATTTACTCAGGAGGCCTTTTTTTTTTTTTTTTTCCTCTCCTAAACTGAAAATGGAAACAAAACAAAAACAAAATAATATGAACTCATTTACCATGAATTGTGGAATGAAGTTTTGGCCTTTTGGCTATAGCTTCATCAGCAAAATAGTAACATTGATTTTTACTCTGGTCTAAGATAGTTTTCAATCACAAAGACTAATTACCACTGACACTCACAAAATGAAGAACTCTACTAAGAACTGCTTTGGGTTAACAGTGTAAGGATTATTTACTTTTGGATGTAAATTGTGGCTTCTGTCAGTGCTTATTTTGAGAAATTTTTTGGAAAGGCATTAAATTCGATAGGTGATCTTATGTGTTGTCTTTACTGTATCCGAGTAACAGCTTTACAAAGGAATTTTACTATTACTTAATTCAAGGGAACTAAAGATAAGAATCTATAAAATGTGCTAGAAAACAGTTCGATTTTTTTCAAAGTCTAAAAGAATAAAATCCTAATGTAGATTTTTAAAATAGTAACTTGACTTTGTTCCCAGATTGTGTGGATCAT